TATATTTACTAACCTGCACCTTTAAAACATACCCATGCTTCTATGTTTCCTCCTTCTTATAATATATAGGCAGAGACTGAGATTACAAGGCAGAAAGTAAAACCCTCTAGTATTTTCTTTGGGTCATGCTCTGTTCATTGAAAAAAGAATCACTTTTCCTTTGTATATTCATGGTTAATCCTGCCTATTATTATTTAGAAATTGATCGTGAACATTGTCACAACATGTTGAAATGTAACAAAAAGATGGGGGCTCCAGATCATATATGTCATTAACAGTAGATAATGTATGATATATGTTTTTGAGTGGATGTATTTTAGATGGGCTGCTGTCAGGGTTATAAGCATCTCTCTTTGAGCTAAGTTTTGTCTCCCCTGGATTTGACTGGACTCCCAATATAAACTGGCTGTATGCCTGTAACTATTTGTAGCAAGAGAATATAAGTATCATTCTGCAAAGAGCATTATCTTACTATACATTTTTCTGTATTGTTAATCAGTTTTAGGAAAGTGTCTTGTGTTCCTTATCTGTGTTTGTGTAAATGTCTTATTAAATATATCAACTTTCAACAAATATGCATCTCACACCTATTTTCTAATCTGAACTTTTTGGCCAAAATGACAGCTGATGGGTAGTTAGTAGAAAAAACTATTTAAATTAATTTCTACAGTACCAATCTTTCAAAAATCTAAGACACAGACCCACAAAAAAATCAAAACATAAGACTTCTACCTTTCACTAACAAGTTCAGCTCCACCCTTGCCACAACAGAATCCACAAAGAAAGGAGAAAATTCTTCCAACTCAGCAACCATAGAAAGGTATGATTCAACAAGCACAGCCATAATTCAGTTCATTCAAATAAGCCCAAGCAGGATAACATTTAAGCAAATTAAAGAAGTGCAGCAGCAGCCACCAAAGTTGGTGGGAAGTATAGGCAGAACTTTTTAGTCCTCAGCAAGTGGAATTACGATTCATTACAATTGATAATTGTATGTTTGCCTATCTCAGGGTATGAAAAATTGCAGGAGAGAGACTATGCTGAGAAAATAGAACACCAAATAAAGGCTGGAGATACTAAAGGAAAACTGGTAGGATATAATGTAGGAAATTTATACCAAGAAAGCTCAAACTACCTCACTTTTAGCTATGAGCAGTATGCTAGGGGTAGAAGCTCCAAAAGATATGGTGACACATAATAACAGAAGTTTTGAGATATAAATTCCCCTCTCCCTGTATACAGTCTAACCAGACCATGTGCAGCTTAAGAAATGTTATCCACCATATTTAATTTTGACTGGTCTATGCATCTTTATATCTCTTAAGATTTCCAGATAATAGCAGTCTTTGCTCATGTACTGATCACATGAAACATACTCCAGTAATTACTGGAGCCAATGGAATGTTAGCAATATTCATTCTTAGCATTCAGAAAAGTAGACTGAATATGACAATATATTCACACAAAATTTCTGCATGATAAGCTTGTAGTCTGTGTCCTATAAACTGAAAGATAAATAAGAATTTAATCAGAATATCACCAGGCCCTTTAGCCAAAGGAGATTGTTGCATAGAAGAAAGAAAAAAAAACTTTAAATTGTCCTAATTTACTTTACCAGATTTCTGGCTAGTGCACCATAAAATCGGTGAGATTTAGATGTAAAAGCTGTTTTTGTCAAGTGAATGCATATTTTGAAAAAATAATTTGTCATTTGTATTATATAAGTTGTTACTATCTTAATGTTTTACTTTATTTCATCCATTTAAACAATTATCTTTATTTATTCCCTTTTAGACTACTTATTATTTATTTTAAACCTGAAAAAAGGCTCCACTACCATCTTAATTCCTTCAGATCAATTCTATTAAGAATGTTGCTTGTCAAATTATACCTCTGCTTTGCTGGATTATTCTTGTTTTTACTTTGACCTTGGAGAGCCCACATTCAGAATTCGACAGTAAGTAATAAGTATACACAATTTTATCTGATAATCTATCAGCATCAATAATATATATTCTTAAGATTAACAAAAATAACATAACAATGATGCAGTCCAGGAATCTATTTGTTCAAGCTTTCCTGCTATGCAGTCTGAATACTTCCGTTTTTTTAAACAAATAACTCTTGGCAGACAGAAAAGTAGAGTATCACAGAGAAGGGCTAGATTAAAAACCTTCCCACCAGGCTTCAAAGATAAAATGCCTGATAAGTCTTCAGAAATGGTCTTCAGAAAATATATATGCAACTTCTGCTAGTTCAGCTATTGGTAACTTATGAATTATTTAGAAATGTTTCTTAGTCCCCACTATTAGCTTCACTCTATATCGAGAACAAGTCATTTTTACAACCAACTTCTAATTCAAGACATTAAGCAGCTCTTACCTCAGAAAACCTTCGTATATCTTGGGTCAAAGTTCCTACTCGTTTCCATTTATAATGTTTGAGCAATTTGAGAATTGCCGGGTTCACAGCATTATCGGATGGCACTGTCCGGAAGAAATAAGGATATTTTTTCTTATCTGCTAACTCTGGTGTTGTTGCTGCAAATGAGAGCTGTAAAATAAAACAATTGTTGTTTAAAAAAAAATCAGAATTATCTATTAATCTAACATTTACTGAAATGGTTGTGTTATATTAAACGAAGAAAAAAATAAGGATATGTCTACATGCTTCTGTTATAAAATGAATGGCAATGTCAGTGGGATACTAAAAATGAGTGCACATTGCTAAAGATAACTTCATAATCAGATAAAATAGTGATTGACAACTAGTAATAGCTAACAATCAATAGACCCATCTGCATTGATGGATATTGACCATGCCAGTGCTAGGTGTGAAGGTGCTCTTGAAAATACCCGGCAGAGGATCTCTAGCACTATTTCCAGGTCACATTCACACAATTCCAGACATATAGAGCTTTGTCTAAATTGGCAACAACCAGTTTTCACAATAATTCATCATGACTGCCAACCAGCCATAGGGCAGTAAGACTGCCAGTACAGACATGTACACATGTGCCCATGTATACACACACAATACGTAGAAAAGGCTCAGTGTCAGGACCCATCACACCCTTAGGAAAAAGCCCATGAAGATCCAAATAACTACAAAAACAACAACTAGTTTGCATAAGCTGGGCTGAGCCAGCTAGATACATAACCTTCCCCCAAGGAAATTAAGATAGCAGAAATTACAAAAAAGAATAAATGGTTATCGGTCTGACATCGAGAAGGCAAATATTGAGAAACAAGAGGAGAACATTTCAATCCTCCAGGACACTGATCCTAAAATAACTATTCTTGAAGAAATGTTTGTGCCCCAGAATAAAATATCTGGATTATAATGTATGTAATAATAAAATCTAAATCAAGATAATAGATGTTTACTCCATTGCAGAAGTTAATGTAACAGTAGGTGGCAGTACCTAACCAACCTTGGCTAAAAAATCTCTAAGCAGGTTAGATTCTAATTGATATGAAATCACTAGGAAATCCCACAGCTGTAGGAAAAACTGGGAAATCAAAAAACATCCTGAAAGAAGGCAGTGGCAAACAGCTTCTGTTTTGCTGCCAAGAAAATTACATGGATATATAACCACATAGTCATCAGGGTTGAGCTCATCTCAAAGGAGTCTTAATCCTTTAGATCTGTTTATGAATACCAGGATGTTTGAGATATTGCTATTGCCTTATGAATTATTGTTATTTATTTTATGTACAACATAAACTTAATGTAAATGTCACTGTTTGTATTTCTTCCATTTCACTTTCCTGAACAGTAATATTCATGCAATCAGCCATCACACACAGATTCATATGATAAAAAGTCCACCTTAGCCAAGATCCTGAGTTTGTTTCTTCTAAGGATGTTCACATGTGTAGAAAAGAGAATGGTGATTTTCAATTATCCCTTTTTCTCCTAAAGCTAATCCCTCAACCTGCTTTGGAGGGTTGGAGGACTGTCTAGAACCATTCAATGGCTGTAGATAGGGAATCAGTCAAAATTGTTTCTCCATCATTTGGATTTCAATCAGGTCCATGAACAGATGGAGTTCTTCTATTTGCAAAAAACTATTCACCTAATATATAGTATGTATACCTGCCAACTCAGAATAACAATTTGAGTCCACTGAGGTGAACACTAGCCCAAGTTTTATCATATGCTACAACTATCTTTCTGCTTCTGCTACATGCAATAGTAGATGATAATCATACATAATTTCATACTAATTTTTTGCAAAATACATTTTGACACTTTACTGAGAATGGAATTCTGCAGAGACCACTGGCATTTTCTATAAGCACAACATTTGCCTCAGCCCTGGAGAAAATTTGGGGTTGAACTTGAAACTTTTTTTAGTGCCAAGGTTACACCTACTACTGTACCATGACAATTCTATAACATTATTGAATAGGATTTCTTCTCCTCAGTGAGATTTTTTTTTTCCCATTCGTGGACAGTTCCTGCATTTTCCAAAGCCTATCCAGAAAGCTGTGGTGCTATCCTGAATACTATGAAAGAAGGCATGAGAAAAATTTCCTATACTCACTGATTCAAGACAGTTGAATAACAGTGATTCAACTGTCTTGAATCAGTGAGTATAGGAAATTTTTCTCATGCCTTCTTCATGAACTGTCTTCATTCAAGACAGTTATATTCAATTTATATCCATTTCCTTTCCCATAGCAGTCTCCTTTGAGCCATCCTAACCATGCAACCTTTCAGTCTAAGGAGCAGAGGAAGTAACAGGAGGAAAGAAAGCTACACAAACAGATCACCTAAGCCTGTTCTCACTAACAAATAAGAAAAATTGGTGAGTAGATGTGTTCAGTCCTTCTGCCAAGACATAACATGATGAACGTGCCATCTATCAATGGGTTTTTACTCCAACAATCTTTACCAAACTCCAAAGTATTTGGTTGCCTATTTATTTATTTTACATCAGATTCGTATCCCAAGTTTATTTTAGAGAAGTCAAGGCAGCATACGAAATGCTCCATCTCCCATTTCTTCCTTAACCTGTTCTGTAAATTCACACTAATTCTTTACACTTTAAATTGTTCACATCATAACACTAATTAAACCTGAATATATCAACAATATTACAACAGTGGTTATTTAAATATGGGATAAATAGAAATGGATAATTATTTAAAATGAACAAATAAAAAATTTGTTTAAAATTGTCATTAATAACTTCTGAACTAACATTTTAATGAAGCTATGTCCTTAACAAACTTAATTACCTTAAGCAAAACTTATACAGTATGCTAATTTTCTTTCACTCCAGTTAGTCTTTTTAGTTTCATAAAAGAAAATACTTAAAGTTCTCCCTCTGGTCCTGAGTTCACTGAAAGGATATCAGATTGGACACAGCTCCCTCTGTTCTTATTCCAATTAACCTTTTCCATCTTGAGTCCTTTTTTCTTCCTCAGGTTTACTATAGCTTTCTGTGAAACTTCATCAGGATATGATCAAAAAATAAAAGGTAATAGCTATCTTTTCTGGAGTCCCTCCGATTCTTACTGCCAAATGCTTTTGCTGGAAAAAGCTATCCTGGAACTGCTTTTAGAGTCCTTCCTATCAAGGGTCCTTGCAGCTACTCTCTTGCTTTTTCCTAGACTCTCCTTTGCATACTCTCTCTACTCACAATAAGACCACACAATTCTAACTAATCCAGTCTGAATATTTATTCTCAGTGAAGACCATTTGACCAATCATCTGGCAGTTCAAGGGCCTACCATTATAAGCCAGTCAGAGGCAACAGAATAGTTGTAAATAACCTTTCAAAACTTGATTTTTTGACCTTTAAAATATAATCTCAGTCGTCTAACTTTTGGGAGTAAAAGTAACTACTGTACTTTATTAACAATTGGCAGGCTGCTAACAGCAGGCATCACAAAAGTAACTTGCCTCACTTGGAGGTGACCAATGTACCAAGTGTTCCAGAAATGCAGTTTAATGATAGAAAAACGTTAGACGTAGCAGGCTGAAGAAAGGGGATATGTGACTCTCACGTGAACCCAGCAATCAGTTAAATATTTTCAAAGTTAAGTGTTTTCAAGAGTAGCTTTTAATATGAAAATTGGCTTGTTATGGCATCTTGCTATTTGTTATTGTTTCATACCCTTGTTTTTGATACCTTTTTTGTGCTAAGCTAATAAAGCACACAAAACTATAAATGAAATAGTATTTAACTTCCACTTTAAGTCGGGAAGAAAAAGATCAGGAATTTTTTATGAATTAAATGCAAAAAATAATGCACACTAATGTTCAAGAATTAAAGTGACTATTTTTTCTGTTTGTTTTTGTATCTAATTTAAAAAGCAAAACATTTTTTAGAGAATTAATTTGACAGCAGTGTTTCTCAGTTGGCCAAATAGGTCAGCAAATGAGGGAATGTCAAATGATGTCAAAAATATGAACTATATTCTTCTGAGAGAAAGCAAAGAATAACAATAGACAAAGAATAGTTTTTTTAAAAAATCTATCAATGTTTTTTGAATACAAGAAAAAATTACCTCACATTTATGCACTGATATGGGATATCTTTTAATTTGTCATGACACTTGATTACAGTGGAATCCACTGTTGAGATTAAAGTGTACTTATTTCAAGTATTATATCACATTGTCATTATAGTGTATATTTTCACATTTTGTAATACGTCACTGTTTTATTTCTGAAGATTTTTTATTTAATAAAGTAGCTCAAAAGAAATAAGTAAAGTTTTATATGATTCTGTTTTTTCCTAAAAAAACATAAAATGAAAATTGTTTGATGTTCTCAGGCATTGTTCAAAAATAAGTTTTTGTTTAGCTTTAGGGCAACCAAACTGAATAACTAAATACTTATTTTTATAAAGCTTGTTATATTAGTTAAAGTTTATAATGGTCATAGACAGTGATGAATTACAAAATGTGTATTTAATATTTCATCAACAATCAAATGTGTACTTTTGTAAAAAAAAAAAGCAATTTAATTAGCCACTGCCAATTATTTATCAGTCTGACAACAAATTAAGAACTTAATCAAGGAAGCTTTTAAAATTAATTTGCTTTACTGAAAACCAAGGGTATAAATTTTTGTTCCGATTATTTCCTATAACTTTTATTCTGATTTAGGATGAGAGTCTCCACATATAAGAATTCTGCTTTAATCATTGGTGTTAGCTATTTCTGACCAAATATACTGATAGCAGTTATAAAAGCTATGGAAAAAACAAGGTCCAAGAAAGAGAAATACATTTAAATTGCCAGTTTATTTTCCACATGTTCTCATCTCATTCATATTAATGGTTTTATACTAGAGACATGTCTGTCTAAGAATTATTGGCTAATTAGCTCACAGTTTTCACCCTAATCCTTGCAATGTAGTTTTTGCCCTGGGAATTAAGCCTTTTTCATCATTGAATGACATTATCGTGTCATGTCATTCTGTGATATCTGGGTTGGTCCATCAGCTAGATTAAAACAAAAAACAAAGCAAAAGCCAGGAAATTGTTCAAAGGACCTACAAAGAACTGACAGTGTGTCAAGAGTTATTGCGAACAA